TGTGTGTGTGTGTGTGTGTGTGTGTGTGTGTGTGTGTGTGTGACAGGAGAGACTGGGCACATGACATAGACAGTGGGAGGACAATCACACATCGAGCCCCAGCATAACTGAATTCAAACCCCTCAGAGTGGAGAGTGTCAGCACAACACCCGGATTATGTACAGTCCCTGGAGAGCAGATTTGGAGCAGGACTTGAGGCAGCAGAGGACTTGGGGAAGGGGTGGGGCTTGGTGTAGCCTCATGGTTAGATGTGAGGAGCCTGGAGGGGTCCCTGGTCCAGGTCTCCTGCTGGGCTGGGGGGCAGCTCCCCCTGACAGCTCCCTCTCTCCTCTAATGCTCACTCCAAGCTTATCTCCTGAGAGTCAGGGAGCTCCACCCTGACACCCCTCTGTCTCCCAGAGGTCACTTCCCCTGGGGGCTGCAGCCACTTTCTGTCTAGAGCAGAGCTGAGGGGGTCCCACAGCCTGGGAGGGGGGAGCCTGTGCCCTGCTGGCCTGGCTCAGTCAGGAGGAGCCCAGGTCACCCCAGTCACTGAGCTGAGCCTTTGTCTAAGGCCCAGGCAGGAGGGAGAGATGGACAGGGTCCCCCTCAGCTCGTGGGAGAGGGGTAGCATAAGAGGAGGAGAAATTACTGTCTCTTCCTCAGTCTGGGCTCTCCCCTCTCCCAGGGCCCCCTCCATGTGCAGCAGGGAGGGGGTCTCAGATGAACCCAGCCTCCCCCCACCTCCCACCGCTGTGTCAGGCTGGCTGCCCTGGTCCGCACTGAGAGGACGCAGGAGAAGAATGTGGTCGCCACACGAGCTGCCAGGACTGGAGCATGTGCGTTGTCTCTACTGTAAAAGTTCTGCAACTTGTGTTGGGGTTTTAATGACGTGAAAAAGAACTTGTGGGAGAGGGAGGAAATGTTGATGCAGGCAAACAATAAAAACAGAATTAAAAGGCAAAACTCAAACAACATAAATTTTTCAGCCCGGCCTGACACAAGCTATGCGACGGCTATCGGCTATCGTCTGACAGATTCCGGGTAGCTCGGGAAAAGCTCTGAAAATCAGACTTTCCATGCTAACTTATGTTATGACCTCCTTTTTTTGTATAATCGTCATATCAAAATATTCTGAGCAACTTTCAGCTTACAATTGGATTGCCTCAGCTGCATAAGTCCTGCCTGGCCCTGACAAGCAAGCACTGCACCAGGGTGAGAAATTCCTCTGAAGTCAAAAGTGACTTGCCAACTGGCTGATCAATAAAAACAAAAGGGCTGTTTCTGCAAAGTCTCTCACTGCTGGACAGAGGAAAACCCAAATCTTATTCTGCTATCTCACCTAGCCTCCTATTCAGCTTCTACAGAATTACTCAAACTTCCTACTGTCTGGCTTTAGATATGGAAATTCATCCAGGTTGCCTGTTTTAGAGCTAGTCAAGTTTTTTACCTGCTACACTTCAAAGCAATCCACAAAAGTCTTTCTGGCTAGTCTTTCAGGATTCTACTATCTAGTCTTTAGATAAGCAAATTCACCTAGTCTCCTATTCAGAGCAAATTATGCCTAGACCTCAAGGAAACTTACTTGAAACCTTTTAGCAAGTTTCTTGAGCAAGTTTCTTGATTAGCAAAAAATTTCCTCTTCCTGAGACCCCAGACCATTTTCTTAGAAAAAAGGTGATTGTGATCTTAACCCCTTTCGTATGCTAATGCCATCCCCCTGCCTACTGGAAATGTATAAAATAAACCTCTGCTAAAGGCAGAGCAGGAAGATTTGCACCCAACTCCGACTCCCGTGTCTTCCTCACTCCCACTCCTCTCCCCCTCTTGGAATCTCCGCACGCCGACGCCTTCCCATCTTAGGGTCCTGCCTGTGTTGCCTCCAGACACCTCAAAAGTTGGAGCTGGTCTCCGACACCGGCCCCACCCCCATGCTGTGGCAGCTGCAGTGAGGGGTCTCAGAGCTGAGGGGCTCAGGCCACCACGGGGTCACATCCCCTGGACACACCCAGAGTGGGGCGGGTCCTCTCAGGGGTGGGGGACACTCCCTGCCCATGCGGCCACATACTGTTATGTCAATTAAAAATTCCCTCCATGTTGTTCCAGTGATGGAGGGAGATGGGGGGGGGGGTGATGACAGAAGCCGGACCTGAGACAGCTGCAGACATGGCCCGGCTCTGAGCTCTGTGTTCAAACAGAACAAGGATAAATCTCCCCAGCATACCCTTGATATAATATGAAATCGTGTGTGAAGAAGGGTACGTCACAAGAAATACATTGTTTTCAGTATGTTGCTGGAAATGTCTAGGCAGTCATGGTCAGAAACCAGTCCTCCGGAACTGCTCCCTGTGGGACTGTACTAATTTCTAACATAGATGAGCTATATTCGGGGTGAACCCACCAGGCCCTGAGGCACAGAGTGCACAGTCCCAAGGGGGCAGGAGGGGACAGGGAGGTGAGTGTACTGAGGAGACAGCAGTGGGGGGTCCTAGTGCTGGGCACGGGGCAGGTCCAGGGCTGTGCACGGGCAGGAGCTGGAGCCGCTGCAGCGGGTGCTGGGGGCGGGGGCCTCGCCCTGGGCCTGGACCCCAGCCCGTCCCCCAGCACACAGGTGGGACCCGCACAGGGACTCTCCGCAGAGCCTCAGTTTCCTCACCTGGGTGTGAAGTTAGGGACGAGGTGAGGACGGTGAGCTGACGCCTGTGAGGTCTCAGCTCAGGGCCGGGCACAGCTGGACGCTCAGCCCCTGGCTGCTCTCCTGGCTGCGGGGAAGGAGGGGGCAGGGGAGGTGACCACAGGCCCTGGGAGCCCCCTGCCTGTGTGGGAGAGAAGACAGGTGGGGTCCACCTGAGACAGGCCTGGGGCGCCGTGGGGAGCAGACACTGGAGAGGGGGAGAGTGGGGGGCTGGGAGGCGACTCCTCCTGACCAGGGAAAGTGTGGTCACCCCCACCCTAAGCATCTCCTCTGCCCTTCGTGTGTCCCTTCCTCACCCACCTTGCAGGACAGTCATGACCTTGGGCCACGACTGGACCCTCCTGGCAGAGGGACCCACAGCGTCTGCCTGGAGACGGGGCCCTGGGAGCCCTCCTGTGGCCACAGCCCCTGCCAGGCCTGTGACAGTGAGTCACTCAGACCTGCTGGGGGCCAAGTGCTGTCCATGCTGCCAGGACCACCCAAGAGGGGACAGCAGCCCTGCTGGGCTCTGGTCAGTGTTGCAGTTCTGTGAGCAGCACAGGAGGTGTTTCTCTGGTTCCATGAGGACCAGCAATTCCTGAGAGGGATGTGCAATGGTCTCAAGCGCAAATGTCACCCAGCGCGGTAAAAGCTGAACCTTCTAGGTCCTAGGAGATGTGTCAAGTCTGTTACTGTCTTGTCTAAATTTGGGACAGATCCTTGATGCCTTGTCTGTTACTAGCCTCTGCACTGTTCTAGAAAGACCAACTCCTGCCTTTCACCCAGTACTGCACGCAGCACCTGCACCTGTCCATCCTGGGCCATGTTGTGAAAATGACCCCCGGGTGCAGTGACGTCCCTGCCGGAACCCTCAGCGGAAGCATTGCAGTTGCTCTACCTGCAGGCAGAGGCACTTCAGGGGTGTCTAAGAGTCATAAACACCCCAAGATATGCTGATATTTCTGAGGTTGAAGGGAGCCTCACTGGACAGACAAGGAAACAGACAGATAAGGAAAACAGCCCTGACGAGACAGAGCACTCTGTGAGCTGGGCTGGGTGGACAAATGTTGGGTCCCAGCCGGGATTGAGCCTCCCCTACCACCCCCGGAGCTTAAGCACAGAAAAATATCCTGATCATAACAGGGAGAAAAACATCCTGTTTTGTCTGCCACCTGTGTGTGTCGATAAACCTGTGAGCGGCTGGTGAATATCTGCCCTGATCGCAGTGAGGCATGTGAGGGAGACTTCCTCTGGCTCCCAGGCCAACACCCTGGGACTAAGGGTATAAAAGGGAGGCTGGAGAAAAAAATAAAGAGACATTTTGCTGCAACCATCTATGTGAGCTGTCAACCTCGACGTCTCCCGCGCAGACTCCTATCCTGGCCGTGCAGGCGCGGCAGACAAACAAAAGCACTGTGTTACTTCTAGAAGAAGTGTGACTTTGATATGCTGATCAAGTACTCTTGGTCTAAAAATGGCACATCTAACTAGTCTTGTCAATTGGGGACTCACTGAATACACCACAGGCAAAGCCGGGGTGCAGGGTCCCTGCTCAGAGCTCTTGCTCCTGCTGCTCCTGCTGGACTCCAGGACCAGCCTGTGCAGGGAGAACTGTCCTGGGCCAGCGCGGCCCTGATGGGGCGGGTTCTGGTCAGTAGCAAGAGAACTGAAAACGTGCATGTACCCCAGCACCTGTAAATCATGGCTCATAAGGCTTCTCCTCACCACACCCCAACCTGGGAGCACCCCACACACCTCCCCCACCACGAGCGCTGTGGCACCGCCTGTGGCAGACACAGCACCACCAGGAGCGATGGCGGACAGGGCAGCACGCGGGGCCTCCTCGGCTGCCGCCTCCCCTGCTGCCGCCCAGCCCTCTCCCGGTGTCCCAAAGCGGATCCCCCCCCGGCAAGTGGCGGAAGTGAGCAAAACACAGCATGGAAGTAAGGTTATTCCATGGACACAGTCAGCTTGAAACAGTGGCTCAGATCTGTCAGTATATAGGGCCTATGGCTGTAACTCAAGCCGCAGACGTGAACAAGCTAGACACCCACTGCTCCGACAGGGAAGCCCTCCTGCAGGTGGTCCCTGAAGGGTGCTTCCCGCAAAATGGCCCCTCCAGTGTCATGCGCTGGAGCACTCAGGTTCCTAAACTCTGCTGCACCAGAAATGGCCATCTCTGAGGAGGGAGAAAGACAGCAAATCAGTACAGAGGGAATCATGCTGACTCGAGAAACTGGTCTTGGGTCAAAGGGCCAGTATCCTGTCCCCAGCAGTGCAAATTAGCACTGGGGCTCTACCAGGACACACACCTGGGACATGATTCTTGTGGACCCTGGTAAAATCCAACTTTCCCCACGAGGGTATCCATCAGGCGGCCAAGGAAGCCTGCAGGGCCTGCAACCTTTGTGTGAGGAACAATCCTGAAGGATGCTGTGTCCACCCCTCTTTCACATCCAGCAACATGGAGGGAGACATGGCCGGGAGAAGGTGGCAGTGGGCCTTACCCAGTACGTCCCTGCTCGGAGTATAAATGTCCCTTGCAGTCACAGGCGTCTTCCAGGTGGAGCTCAACTTTCCTTTTTTTTCAAGGCAGCAGGCTCTCCTGGAGGAAATAATCCCCACCTTTGGGCTTCCCAGTCCTTCTAAGGAGATAAAGGACCTGCTCAAATAACTCGGCAGGAGGCCCAGGCTTTATACATAAAATACTGCTTACGTTCAGCCTGGTACCCCAAACCTCTGGAAAGGTGGAAAAGGCAAATCACACTATAAGAAGCTTCTGGCCAGAATTGTTGAGAACTCAAGGAGAGATGGTTAAAGAGGCTCCTGTGGATCTTCTCAAAATTCACAAAGCCCTGAGAAATCCTTTAGCAATGACATATGGGAGGACTTTGTTGACCTTAGATTTAGTTTGTGACCCCCAAATACAACTCTAACTCAACCCATTCACTTAACAAGTCTCTGGTCTTACCCTGGAGACCCTGATCCTTTGAAACTGTCAGCCCAGGCAACTGGTCTACCTCAAACTTGGAAAGGTGAGGGGGGACCAGTCAAACCCAAAGGCCTTATACAAGGCCCTTTCCAGTCACTCTGAGGCCTCCACAGCTGTCAGACTAGCTGGACATTCTGGCTGAATCAACTGGCTCCAGTACATGTTGGCAGTTTCCTTCACAGGCGTCACCCAGGAGCGGTGTTCCTGTGAACCAGCGCAGGGCTTGAAATAGTACTTCAGAAGACAGTGAAGGAGGACTGAGTGCGAATAAACCTTGTGTTTTCCTGAGGAATAATGTCTGTTTCTTATTGAAAATAATAATCTAGATATGATCATTTTTGTCATGTGGAGTTGATGTGTTAATTAAAATACATCTGAAATTGGTAAGGAAATGAGTGTAAGACCTGAGCACTTTCCAGAATTGCACGTTTACTGGGCTGAGTCTATGCAGGTGGAGGCGGGAGAGGCTGTGAGAGGCTTTGTCCAGCCGGTGCTCAGGGCATCATAGTGGTTGTGACGTGGCCACTCCTCAGAGGTCATCTCTCTGTTCCTTGTCCTCGTCCCTCAGTAGCACCTGCCCCAGTAGGGCCTGTGGTCACAGGGACTCAAACACCACCTGGGCCTGTCCTGCCCCAGGAAGGTGGGTGGAGATGCCGGTGGCTGGGTCAGCCTAGGCTCTGGGCTCTGGCTGTTTTCTTACTTGAGAAACTGTTTAGAGGCCCCAAACTTAAGTAGTTTCCTGGTCAGTCACTGCGCCGTCCCCTCTGCCTTTACCAGGTGACTCAAGAGTCTCCCAGCCCCAGCCAGAGCTGGGTCACCAAGAGACCTTCCCTCCCAGTGTCCCCGCTGCTGGCCCTTCCCGGCCCATCGTCTCTGGTTCTACCCCTACCTCCTAATATCCCTATTTTCACCCTCTGCTCTGTTTCCAGGAGCCTTGCCATCATCTTTCCCAGTGCCCTTAGGGATCTCCTCAGCCCCTCCCCTTGTCCAAGGAACTGAGATACTAAGAAGGAGGCACTTCATCCCCGGAGTCTGAGGCAAGAATAAGTAATCGGGGCTCTTGAGTACAAGGTTCCACCCAAGGAGGCTAAGGGCAATCATGTTTTGTGGCCCCAGGTAGAACCTGGAACCAGCTGTTATGACTTGGAGACCTGGATGAGGCCTGAGTCAATATTCACTAGGGATGAAATTTGAAGGCTTCTGCCTTGACACAGAACTTGGGTGCTCCCTTGTGAGCAGATCCCTGTCCTGCTGCTGGGAGCCCAGGGCACCCTGGGGGCCTGGCTGAGCAGGAGTAAGGGCAGCTCTGGGCTCCTGCGCTCAGCCCTGTGGCCACACGGGGGCGCTGCTGTCTGCTCTGGTTCTGGCTGAGCCCCAGGACTAGGCGGGTCTGAGTGGGGCAGAGTGGGTTGTGGGGTGGGGGGCGGCGTCCTGGGGGCTGAGAGGCTCTGTGGGGAGTCAGAAAGAGCGTGCTCAGAGGAGAAGAGACTCTAGAGTCTCTGTGTGGGAGGATTCCATCTAATCTCCTCCAGAATCCCTCTATCCAGTCCCTTGATAACGATAGCTGGGAAAACTAAAAAGTAGATTATTTTCCCCATTCATATCTTATAATTTTGTTGGGGGCTATTTCCTAAAACACATTTTTGATAAAAAATACTGTCGAATTTATGGGAGAGTTGCATAGGTAGTAGAGTTCCTGTATGTTTCACCATCTCCACAATCTTACAGAACTGCAGTGCATTTGTACAGCTAATTAAGCCATTCTCATGCACTTTTACTAGGATCCCTGTTAATTCTTAGTTCATTAGTTTTTCCTAGTGACCAGCTGCAGCTGAGGTAGGGAGGGTCGCCCGCAAGAAAGAACAGTGTCAGCGAAGGTGAGAAAGAAAAGGAGAAAATGTGAGGGGAGAAAGGAGAGAGGTAGGAAAATGAGGAGACGCAAACACTTGATTAGGGTGAAAGCACCTTCTGCCGATTGTCCCAGCAGGTCTTTATTTATACATTACAAGCAAGCGGTGGGATTACATCAGCGTGTGCATGAAGCAGAAAACTTAACAATCATCACATTTTTCTTACAGACAGCTCGGGACTTTTTGATCTCTTATTGAGACTGTGATATTAATCATCATTATGAAAAGGTACAGTTGAAGTGGGCCAGTGGCACAATGGATAACGCGTCTGACTATGGATCAGAAAAGGTACACTTGATACACAAGAAGTTCCTATAGTGTCTCATCATTAATAAAAAAAAATATTCGTATAGTGATCAGTTATCAATCAAAATGTTTCTTTGGTGATCAGTTAGCTATTCCAACTTAAGCAGTCACTTTGTTACTATGGCAGCGAAAATACATCTTAAAGGTACAGGATCTAATGTTAAGGAACTAGGAGTCAGAAAAACACCAACGCTGAGTGCGCTGACATTTCCTTGTCCCTAAGGAAAAAAACCCTTTTTTGATCTACAAAAAGAGCTTCTGTTAATCACTATTTCTGCAATTGTTCTGTCAACCTATTCTATCTAACATAAGAAGGGGGGAGGGGAATTTCTTTCTTTATATGGTCACTGATTATTGTCCTATTAATCTTATCTAAAAAAACCTTTTCTATGTGAAAAAAGGTCAGAGTGAAAGTTAAAGGAAAGAGTAGGAAAACTTATTATCATTTATAATTCTTTTACTTAAAATGAAACTATGTTACTTAAAACTATAGATCTTTAATTGGGGACTGGGCAAGAAATGATTACAGCCTTTGGTTCCCAGAATTCTTGGACAGTGACTTGTCTCTCCGTGTTGTGGGAACTAGATTTGTGCCAGTGCACTCAAACAGAGAAATTTTAATTATTTTACAAGGTACTCTGCCGTTCTGTGTACAATGCTATTGTTATTAAGCCAATCAATCCAATCAAGTAATTATTGATTTCATATTGAATGTATATTTGGACAATTGCCATGCTTCTTGGGAATGGCCAAAAACAAACCATACTTCCTGAAAATGGCCATAAACAAATGAAAAGAATCCAGCAGGAACCAGCTGTGGAATATCCTGACTTTTCAGGATTTTTTCCCCCATGTCAGGACCTTGTCATACAGCGTTGCTGCAGTCAGCACAGGGGTGTGACCCTGGTATAAGGTTTTTACTTCTGGTAAGGGTGTAAGCGTATCACTCTTGTTTGTTTTCAAAGATTCCTTTATTTACACATACAAGAACTTGGGTACAGGCTAGAGGTGCGAGGTGAGAGGATTTACCAGAGACAAAACAGGCTGATTGACGAAGTACACTGCTGAGGGGAACAGTGCATAGGTCAGGAGAGGTCTCCTGTATCTTGCGGGTCAACTCCCTGGCTGGGAATTGAACCTGTGCCACAGTGGCCACAGATAGCCCATAGTGCCACACCCTAACCCACTGTGCCACCAGGGAGGACCCTGTGTCACTCTTGTTTATAGTGTCTTTCCTAATAACATGTATTATTGAGCATTGTTCGTATATAATTATTTGGCAGCTATATCTTTTCATTGGTGAAGCCTTTTGTCCATTTAAACTGGGTTATTTTGGGCCCTCCCTGGTGGCGCAACAGGTTAAAGCACAGCACTATGAAGCTGTCTGCAGCTACTGCAGCACTTCAATATACTGCGTGAGT